TTTCTATACTTTTTAAGAACTTAAATGGTAAAGTAATTTTCTGTTAGTTGAAAGACCAGAAATATTTGTCTATCAATTGTGCAGGTCATGCATTACTCTTTGAAAAAATTTCTTCGACAATCTTCCCCAATGTATTCCATGGTTATAGATCTTCTATTTTTCTTCAAATTAAAAAAATTATCTTCATTGTTGCAGTTTGATCTTTTTTTCTAATTTCCGATGTGTCTGTGTTTTTTCTCTTATATCTTTCTTAAGTTATGTGTGTCTAAATTGCTTATTCTATTATTCTTTTTAAATAACCAGCTTTTGAATTTATTTATAAACTCTAATTTACCTCTATTTCAGTATTTCCTAATTTATTGATTTCTACTTTATTAACAATTTCTGCTTGTTTTCCTGAAGTTTGTTCTGTTTTACTCTAATTTAGACAGCAAAATGCTTTGCCAATTTATTTTAATTTCCATAAATTAATAATAAAATCACTTAAAGTAAATTTCTTTGATTATACAGCTTGCCATATTTACTAAGTTTTTATATATTGTATCCTTATTTTTGGTGTTCTGTAATTATAGTTTTGGGTTCTTATTCTAACCAAGTTTATTTAAAGGTAATTTTCCTCTTGTAATTTCCAAACGGTACTTAAAAAAAAGTATTGTAATTTCGCTTTTTGGTGAGAAAAATGTACCTTCTATAATTCTCATTCTTTGAATTAAATGAGTTTTTGTTTTCTTTTTTTGCAGATGATTATACTATCTGGTAGTGTAAATGGTGAATGGGCATAGTTACCACTTTCTTCACGGAGTAGAATACAGAAGGTAGAAAGGAAACCCTGCCTTGTTCTTCAGTTGTAACTTCTTGGATCTTTGAATCTGAGGACACATGGAGAGAAACAGCAAAGATCTTCTTATCTTTTCGTTTTTGGTGATTTCTGTTTCATGACATAAGCTGGAATGTGCTGTAAGTAGCCTATGTAGGTTTATCTTAAACTAGTTTCTTCTTCTTTGAGGTCATCTATTTTAAATTTTTGCAGGTTTGCTGGGTTTTGGTCATTTTTGTTGTTAAAAATTTCAATAGTGTTCCAATTTTTTTCTGTTAAGTTTTTTAAACAGTTGAGGATACATTAAGCTTTCCACTTCTTGTTTAAATCCTTAAAGGAAATTCACTTAAAGTAAAAATACTTACAATTTAGAAAGGGTGGATCTGAATCTTTATCCATTTTTCATAGGAAGGCAAAACTACTTCCCATAGCAAATTCGGAGTCATTCACAGGGAGCAGTAAGCACATGGGAGGAAAGCAGGAACAGTGAATAGGCGAAGGCACGTAATCTATCTCTAATAGTCTGATCTGTTCCAGAGTAACAGAACCAATAAGATGGACACACACACAAACACACATACCTCATACACAGACACACACACACATATGTATCACACACACACACACACACACAAAATTTATTATAAGACATAGGCCAAGAACTCCCATGATATCTGCCATCTGCAAATTGGAGACTCAGGAGAGCTGGTAGTGTAGTTCCAGTCCAAATCCTGAGAACCAGAAGAATTGATGGTATAAGTTCCAGTCTGAGTGTAGGAGAGGGTCAATGTTCAGCTCTAAAACCATCAGAAACAGTGAATTCTCATTTATTCCTTTTTTTGGTCTATTCAGCTTTTCGAAGGCTTGGATAAGGCCCGACCACACTGGGAAGGGGAATCTACTGATGTGAATGTTAAGCTCATCTGGAAACATGCTCACAGATACAACCAGAATACTGTTTAAAATATCAGGGCATCTTGTGGCCCAGTTAAGTTGACACATGTAGTTAACCATCACAGCATCAAAATTAAAACTCAGTAATAAGCTTAAAGGCTAGCTGGCATCTGTATATAGAACATTGCCTAGAAGATGACGTCAGGGATTATGCCTATCAGATCTCTATTGCTGATTACATAGTAAAGATGAATAAAATGCTTAATATAAATCAATTCCTGGTTTTCTCAACAATCCTTGTGAGTAAAGAAAATACTTTTTGGGAGAAACGTATTTTGAGCAATTTGAAGAAAGAATAAAGTCGTCTGCTGAAGGAGTGATCTGAATATACTTTGTATAATTGAGTATCTTGGAACACTGTAGAGATAAGAGGAGAAATGGATGGTCAAGAGTAGGTGCCTAAGAGGCAAAAGGACTATTAGAATGCAGGTGGCAGGCAAAAAATAAAATTTGGCTGGACTAACTGAAAGACAAACATTTATAAGATGGGGACTCTTGAGAGTGGGGAAAAATATGTTGTAATTTAGAGAAGACAAAAACATTGTTACTTAAAAAATTTCCTATGAAGATAGATAGAATGATAAGAATTAATGTTGGATAGAAAGAAAGATTGTTGGGAGAGGTTACACTATTGCCCAAAGTTTACAATATTATACAACATCAATTTTGCGCCAATGTCCTGGTCAAATGCTAGGGAAACATCTACGAGAAAATCTACTGTAGAGCCAGTAAACAGCTGATTTCTGAAAAAACACATTATGAAGATATTTTATATTCATAGACATCACAAGTAGCCTCTGTGGTTGGCAGAGCGCTTTAAACAGTAATGTGAAACCACTTGGATCTGTGAATTGCTTACTTATCCAATTGTCTTTTTTGACCTATGCAGTGGCAGGGTATGAAGAGAAGTCAATAATAATTGCATGATTGCAGACCCAGCTACCAAGCCCCAAATTTAAGTCCTTCGTATGTCCCTAATTTACTGGCGGACTGTCATCACATTAACTTCATATCTCTTTTAGCACAAATTTCCACAGAAATGAAACTAGAGATTTGAGTTCTTAAATCTTCCTGTTCCCTTTAAGTGTTGATGTTCTATAATTCTGCAATTCGAATTCCTGTCAATGCTAAGTGTTTGGTGATAATTTCAGCTTTTTACATTTTAGTTTGAAATAAAATAAATAAATAAATAAATAGTTTTACTTCCAGGTAGGACTATGTACAAACTATTCCTAAAATATTATAATGATGGACAATGTTTATTACTTATAATATGCTAGGCACTTTACATTAATTTTCTAACGCAAAGAGGCAAATACAGTACAGTGTAGAGTGAGACCTGTAAGGCTTGAAGTCTCCTTCCACCACTTTTAGGAAGATGGCTTTAACCAGGTGCTTCTGACACTTTAATATTCATAGGAATCTGCTAATTTTATTAAAAAGCAGATTCCCATTTAGTGATCTGAGGTAGGCCTTAAGATTATGCATTTCTCACAAACTCCCAAGTGATGCAGGTGCCTCTTGTCCTTGAACCACACTTCTATGCCTCACTTTCTTCTCCTACAAAACAAGGATAGCAATCGTATCTAGCTCTTACAGCTGCTCTAGGGATTAAGTGAATTATTCAATTGACCCTTGAACAACATGGGTTTGAACTGTGCAGGTCTAGTTATACCTGGATTGTTTTCAATAAGTACAGTTGGCCTTTTGTATCTGTGGGTTCTACGTTCACAAATCAGTTGTTCAAGGACAAATAATTAGTTATTAGTTCAGGGCTTTGACTTTAAATGGCATTTTTCATGTTTTCTGCAGGAAGCAGCTGCGTGGACTTTTGTTCTTTTTTTTTTTCTTTTTAGAAATGGCTCCTAAGTCCCAAATTTTTAACCACCATGCCCCACTGCCCAGCAAGAGTCACCACAAGTTTTACTTAGTAACATTTTTCTGTGTCCGTTGATTGTCAGGCATTTCTTCCTGAGTGTTCAAAACTGTGCTTCATGTGCCTCTTTAGTGATGTCTTCAGGGCATACAGTGGTCCTCTGTCTTCTACAGTTTCCATCTTCTTATGTATTCTTCTATTTAATACTTTTCCTTCTTTATCCTTTCTCAGCATATAATCAGCATTTTGTATCCAAAAGTTCCATATCCACAGGCAAAAAAACTGTTGATAAAAATGAATAACATAACAATAAAAGTAATACAAATTAAAAACAATACAGTATTACAGCTATTTCCATAGCATTTACATTGACTTCCTGCAAAGAGTGCATGTGCTATAAAATGATTTTCCATGAGTGGCGATAGGCTGTGTTTTCTGCTTTCTGTTGCCCTTTATAACCACTGAGTGTGTTGTGGGGGTGCTTTTCCAGATTGGCTGTCTCATGCCTGACTGACTTCTCAGTGTGAGGAATAAACTTACAACGTAGGTTTTAGACAACATTTTATTAAAGTGAGTGATTTGTATACTTATTGTCTGGTGAGTACTCTCTGAATTCAAAAGAGCTTAAAAGGAATGAGATGACAGTCAATAAACCGAAGATGCTAATGGATATGTGAGTCAACCCTGGCTCAAATTTTTCCTCTTTTATTGAAAAAGCAATGACCCAAGTCATTTTTATAGGCACTAATGTTCTTTGTGTACTAGAAAATAAGTGAATTAATGTTTCCCATTCCTAAAAACATTAACTATTTACATTTCAAATTGAATTTGGGGTGGAAAAGCAAATAGAAAATATTGGATTAAAATATTAAGTTGTAAAAAACGCAACTCTCAGAGGTTGCTCCCACCGGTAATTTGATATGGCAAATTATTTTTCATCTCTAGGACACCAGAACTATCGCTCCTTTCATCTAGAAAGTTGGTTTAATTAGTTTTGTTCTCCAGATTTTTACCTGAGTAGTTATCAATAGCTGGCAATTAATATATTATAGAAGTTTAGAAATTATATTTGGAGAGCAATAATTTAAACATGCATAAATTTAGGACTTATTTAAACTGGTTAGCAGAAGAGAAATCGGATCTCCCAAAATAGCAACACTGGGCAGGCTGTGCCAGTAATTTAAGGGGAAGTGACCAAATTTGAGAAGTGAGGACTCTTGCTATGAATCTTGGCATCTGACTGTATTATGGGTTTCATTTTCTCATAAGTTATTAAAAAGTCATGTTAAGAACGAATGCTGTTGTTTGAATCTTTGGACTCTAAGGGATAGTTTTTCCTAGTTTCTGCTCCTGGCATAGGGCAGTTGTATACACTTGCTTATTTATTCAGGTATTCATCTATTCCATACGTATGTGTTGAGATAGTACTGCGAATCAGTCTTGCTGATGGATTGAATGTGGAGAGTCTGAGAAAGGGAAAACATCAAACACTACCCTTAGGTGTCTGGCTGGATTAATGAGTTAGAAATGGGGTAGTTGCTCACTTACTGAGAGACAGAGGAAGGAGATGTTTTAGAGGCTGGAGAGTAGGAATCAAGAGTTGGGTTTGGAGCCTACTAAGAGGTGACCTGTATGTGATTGGACGTGCATATCTAATGTTTAATTGAGTGATCAGGGCTGCTAATTCAGGAGTCATGATCATACAGACAGAGTATTAAGCTGTTGGACTAGATTGGGGCACCTGGGGAATAGGTGTAGTTTTAGATGAGAAGGTCTAGGACTGAGGGCTGGTCATCCCCCTATTTTGTGTTAAGAAGAGAAGGAGCATCCTGCAAAGAAGTTGGAAAAGGAGCAGCCTGAAAGGTAGGATGTAAAACAAGAAGGTGCAATGCCCTGGGAACCAAGGGAAAAATGTTTTAAGGATATGATTAATTCTACTCAGTACTGCTGAGAGTTGGAATAGTGTTGGGACCAAGCATTGATGACTGGATCTGATGATGTGAATGAGCTTAGTGAAATCTTCAATTAACATCCTGCCTAGAAGTGTTGAGAATAGGAACCCAGCTATCACAGGCATCCTTTCTAGGGAGTTTTGAAGCAAAGAATAGAAAAATGGGTCAGGTGTTAGAAGGAAATCAAGCGGGGTATTTAAAACATGGGAGCAATTACAGCCTAGTTGTATATCAATGTGAAAACTTGTGTTGCAATTAAGAGAGGAGATAATTGTAGGAGCAAAGTCTGAGTGAAGGTAATGGGATGGAATCTAGATAATAAAAGGAGGGGCTGGATTTAGATAGGAGCAGGGGCAGTTCATCCATTGCAACAGGAGAGAAGGTGAAAGGTATGGGTACAGATGTATGTAGGTTGGTAAACTTATAGTAGGTAGGATATGGGAATTATCTCCTAAATACTTCTATTGGATTAGGAAAATAAGAGGCAAATCTTTCAGCTAAGAGTAATAATAGAACTAATGCAGAGGTTGAGGGAGAGGAAAAAAAAGATGTAAAAGAGATGTCTGAAAAGTGCAAAAGCCAGAAGAATATAGAGTATTACTGGGCAATATTAAACTTTTTGAAGCCTGAGGTCATATTCGAAAGAAGGGTCAGCATGGTTGTGTTTTTGTCTAGCCACATTTGGCTGCTCAGCTGCAGATATAGGTAGAGATTTAGGTTTTAGCAGGTTGGCGTTTTGTCAGACAGGTACAAAGGAAGCAAGCTAGCTGAGGATCTGTAAAAGGAGAGGTTAAATGATGGATCTTGGAATCTAAATTTGGTAAGAAGAGAAGGAGAGATTGGTGAAAAGTAGGTGGTAGGATTAATAGATTGAATATCCCAGTAGGACCCAAAGAGTTTTGAAGTAAGTATGTGAGAGAAAGTGAACTGGGAAGATTGGAAGTTAGAGATTAGAGAATGGCTTCAAATTGAGATTGCAGATCTCAATCAATAATAAGGTCTAGGATATAGTCACTTACGTGGGTACTGGAGGTAGAGATGAAGACAAAGTCAACAAAAATGAGGTAACCAAGAAACTGACATGCTATACTATTAAATGGATTAGTTATTTGAATATTACAATCACCAATACCTCATAGGAAAAGCAATGGAAAGAAAGACACAATCCAGTGTTATAACTTTTCAGGGAATGAGAGGTTATTACTAGAAGTGTGAAGTAATGACACCTGGTAAATATACTTTTGTAGTCATGACTTTAAAGGGAAATCCGAAGGTATAGTTGTATATCTTAGTCTAGCAAGTTTAATTTCTTAAATAGAAACACAGAATAGACAGATTCGTGGGTACTACCAGGGTTGGAGCATTGCCAAGTAGATGTGCTAGAACAAAAATAGAGAGAGAGTGAAAGATGTTTCCAAGGAAGTAATTCTAATTAAGGTTGGATGGATTTCAAACTAGGTAAGAAGATAAGACATGAGAAAAGTGTTCAAGAGGAAATATTAGATGTCAGTTACCTGTCAGTGGATTGGAAGTCTCCATAACTGAAAGTGGAGAATTTTGAGAGATTATGTACAGAGTAAATGAGCTCAAAGATTAGAACATGGTGTTCAGAGAGGGGGAAGCTGGAGGCTGCAGTTAATGGTGATGACAACAAGGAATAGGAAATTGAACTGGAATGGAAGAAACAACTTTTGGACATGAGAATGTAGGGGAACTGAGACACCAGAGAGTTGATGTCATTAAATGTTTTGCCAAGAGGGGGTGTAGAAAGGAAGTTATAGAACAGATGACAAAGTCGTCAATGAGTGACCAAGATTTGTAGATGACGGTAGCAAGTAGAAAGAGTATGATGGCTTAAACTTCAAAGGATCTGGGCTTTTGAGCACAGAGAGGAGAAATGGTTTAGAAGGAGCAATGCGATCTAACTCCAGGCTTTGAGGTACCAAGGGGAAGGAAAAGAAATCTTCCCTCAGTAAGACTGCAAGAGAAGCTGTGCCACTAGTGGGCAGCCAGGTGAAGGGAGTGCTCAAAGACAGGTTGTATTCCTTTTCTGGGGAGGTATAACAAAGTATTACAAACTGGATGGCTTAAAACAACAGAAATTTATTGTCTTTCAGTTCTGGAGGCCAGAATTCCAAAGTCAAGATGCCAGCAGGGCTGTGCTTCCCTTAGGTACCAGGGAGAGGTCTGTTCCAGGCCTTTCTCCTAACTTCTGGTAGTTCCTTGGCTTGCCACAGCATAACTCCAATCTTCACATGGTGTTTTTGTGTGTATGTGTGTGTGTGTCTTTGTCCAAATTTGCCTCTTTGAGAAGGACACTAGTTCTATTGGATTGGGGGCCATCCTACTGCAGTGTGACCTTATCCTAACTAATTATATCTGTAACAGCCCTATTTCTCAATAAGGTCACACTCTAATGTACTGGGGGTTAGGATGTCAACATATGAACAGAGAGAGGGACGCAGTTCAACCCATAACAAGAGTGTTTGCTGATGGCAGACAAGAGGAAACACTGGAGGGGTTTTGGAGGTACAGGGTGATTAGGAAAGTGGGTCAGAGTAGGAAATGTACAGAGTACTTGGGATGGAGCTCAGGTTTCTGGTTAATGGACAACGAGGATGTCAGGTCTGATGGCTTTACATTTGATAGCCAGACAGGGGAATATGGGGACACTAGATAGACATTCTCTCCTGCAGCTCTCAGCAGGATGGTGGCCAAGGGGAAAGTAAAAGAGCCTCAGTGTGCTGATCTCGGAACAGAAGGAAATCTGAGGACTTATTTTCTGTAGTTCTGAGGTGGTGTAGTGGCTTTCGGGAGCATCTGTCTCACTTGGAGCATGAAACTGGGAATGCGTCTTCTTTGAAGGGTTTGTGTTGTGGCAGCTGAGACATGAGATGTGGAGAAGAGCCTTTACTATCTGATGGCTTGGTGTTGAACTTATTCATCAGGCAATGTGTGGAAGCTACAAGTGTCATGTCAGCTACAGAGCAGAGCAAAATGTTTGGTATTATAAGAAACAGTTTTTAACATGTTTGGGCAATAGTGAAACCAAAATTGCAAGGAAGCATATTATTTTAACAGGGAGCAATTTTATTGGGTATGAGTACATGGGGTTCCTTGACATTTTCATTACAATATGCTGCTGCTGCTAAGTGAGTTTTTAAAAATCTTTAAGACCAGTATGGAGGGACCTCTATCTGTCAGAAAAGTCTTCACAAAATATGTCAAATGGAAGAAGTTTGGTTTGGGTGCCCATCTATTTTTCCCTTCTTTATTCTTGTTCCACCTGCTGACACCCTTTTCCCTCCACTCTCCAGAGACTCCTTACTTCCTGATGTTTTGCTCTTCTTACTCTCCTTCTCCTTCTTTATGTCATTTACTCCTTAGGGTAACAAATATTTGCCTTCTTCAGCCTATTTGCATTGAAAGAAGATGCTGCCTGGTGCAATTAAGACAGCTTCCTCATCTGGGGGTGGAGATCCTGACATTGTATCTGCTTTATCATTTTGTACCCCTGTGCTCTCCTATCTTCAAATATAAATAGGACTAATAATATCTGCCCCCGCAGTTATGATGATGAATAAATGAAAAAGGGCTAAGGAAATCAGTGCCTGGCATTTCGTGTGTTTAAATTATTTCTTTCTCTGTGCCATAAGTTATTCAGTTTTGGAACCAGAATTCTTGTTAAACTAGAGGAAACAAATTTCATAACAATTGGTAATGATGGACCAGGGGATAAGTGAGGTGGTGGGAACATTTTCCAGTACATATCAATCCACATCAAGGCCAAAAGCTCAGATTTAAAATTTGGCATTGGTTCGTAAGCCAGAATACATTATTACTATTATGCCACAGGAAAAAAAATCTCAAATGTCCTCTGATTCTTTTTTTTTTTTTTTTTTTTGAGATGGAGTCTTGCTCTATCACCCAGGCTGGAGTGCAGTGGTGTGATCTTGGCTCACTGCAACCTATGCTTCCCCAGGTTCAAGTGATTCTCCAGCCTCAGCCTCCCGAGTAGCTTGGACTACAGGCATGCACTATCTCGCCCGCCTATTTTTTTTTTGTATTTTTAGTATAGACGGAGTTTCACCATGTTGACCAGGCTGGTGTAAGCCTCTGTACCAGGCCAAATGTCCACTGATTCTGACCGCTTCCAAGCTATGTGACTTCTCCTTTACCAGGTCCAAATTATTCAAGTTTTTATTATATTCAGGTCTTCGAGTGTGGCTGAACTATTAGTAAAGGTAATTCAAGAAAATACAGCAATTTCTTTTCAACTGTAAGAGCTAAAGGAATTCAGTTGGAATGTGAGCTTCAATATAAGACAGGAAATGGGAAAATCAGATTCTTAGTAAATTTTAATCCAAGGTAATTAGTCATTCTCTCATCTAGGCCTGCACTCAAATCTCCCGAATGATGTAGGCTTGTGATTGTTCCTATGGCAGCAATCTCAAACTTTACTGTACTTAAGAGTCTCTAGGGAACCTTCTAAAGAGGCACTTCTCTCAGAGATTCTAAATGACTAGGTGTTAGGTAAGGCCCAGCCCCTGTATTTCTGCAGAGCTCTTATGGTGACTCTGATCAGAGGATCCATAGATGACACTTTGAGAAACACTAACCAACTGATATAAGCTTATCACTGGAAAAAATGCAGTTGTTTTAAGTCAGGGATCAATTTCTTTCCCCTGCCCTGTGTTTAACACTGTGTGATGCACATAGAAGGGGGTTTAATATATTTTAGTGGGCAAAATAACCGCAGGGTATTTTATCTGTAAAATATCGAATTATCACGTCAAGGAAAGGGTTAGCTCAAGTTATTTCTAATATTGACCTTTATTAGAAGATGTTGACTACCTTTTTTTCCATTTTATTTGCCTCAGCTTCTTGAATCACAATTATCCATTTTCGTTG